TTCCTTACCTTCTCAATCTTTTTTTTTTTTTTTTTTTTTCTTAAACAAAACCTTACGACTCTGGCTCCTTTTCCATTCTGGGAAGCATCAGTCCGGTTCCTATTCCCCCGGCAAGTCAAAAGAATTACAATGAGCACTCACACTTCTGGGAAGCATCAGTCCGGTTCCTATTCCCCCGGCAAGTCAAAAGAATTACAATGAGCACTCACACACACTCCTCCTCCTTATGGTGGGGAGGTCCCAAGGACGGCATTGATTACTTCCATTAGGAAGGATGTACCCCCCTTCACCCCTGCCTAAGTTAGCCTGTTCTACTTCTATTCCTTCTTTGTTGTTCTGCTGTCCTCTTTCTTCTGATGTTTGCTGCTTATCTACTTGGGCTCTCTCCAGACTGTTCCTCTCAGCTGCTTGGCTGTCAGATCCTCGTTATTTGCTAGAACTGCTGGTGGCTTTCTACTGTAGTCTTTGCTAAAAGCCTAAAACCCTTAACCCTACCGGGCTTTGGTCGAGATTCTAGCCCTTGTCTTCCTTCGCCTCTGGTCGGTAACAAGTTTTACTCTGTCCTTTTTTTTTTTTTTTTCCGATGTCTATGTAGATTCTAGATACATTAAACTGCTCTGGCTAACTAGTCTGGAAACCAGGTGATGAGTTATTTTTGGGGGTGATGGAGAAGGGGATGATTGAATTGATGATAATATGGAAGGAGTCAGATCGGATATTTGACACTTAGGGATTGTTATAGGCGTTGTAATATTCTAAGTGTAAGAGGAGTTGGGTTGCAGTGACTGTGGACCAGGTTTGCTTGCCAATGGTCCTTCATATTAACTTCGGAGGGCTGGCACTTTGGTTGAGAGGATGGTGCTAGAGAGCTCTGTTTGTCCAATATGTGGCGGTGACGTGCCGGTGAGTGGGTGTGTTATGTGGGGGTGTATGTGACTGATGAGAGGGGTTTGTGGTGTTCAATGTGGGGGATGTGTTGGGTGGATGATGGGTGTTTGGTGTGGGGTAATTTGTGGTAGGATTTGGGTTGCTGTGTGGATGTAGTGGTTGTTGCTTTTGCTCGTGGAGGGGAGGATTAACCAGCTCTTTAGGTTAAGCGAATCGTTTTTAATTGTTCCTAGGTGGCCCGATGCTAGTTTTTGGATAATGATTTTTTTTTGGTGTTATTTCTGCTTTTTTGTCAGGTGCTTTGCTTGTTTGTTTTCGGGTTTTCCTCCAGTGTCCAGCTACCAAATCTGTTTCTATCATATGCTTTATTGTGTTTATTGGGTCCTCGGGACTGATGGGGCGATCTTCGAAAGTTTTGTCGCATCTGCTTTTGCATAGACTCCAAAGGATTGCTTTTCTGATTAGGGAGAGGAGAGTACAATCTTACTAAAACGCTTTTAGCAAAAAACGTAAAAATACTAAAAATCGAAAATGATAAAAAATTGTCCTTCGGGACAGCCATTAAAATTCGAACGATCCAGAGAAGATTAGCATGACGCACATAAATCGAGAAATGGTCCCCAAAAAAAAAAAAAAAGATAAATCATAAATAATAATGATTAAAACATTAAAATAATAAAAATATTATTTTATGAAAATCCAAACTTCTTGTTGTTGAATCTTGACCTCCCCGAACATTATGCGAGGATCTGGGTCCTCGGCAGGCCTAAGGGGCTCCGGTTACAGTTGTGCCCACCCTAAGTGAAGGCGGGCCTAACATATCACAAGAGGCCTTTGACTGTCAATTTCATATTTGGGGTACAGGCAGTTGCGACGYGCCAGTTGGTTGGGAGAAACACAGGCCAAGCAACCAAGACATTTCCACGGCCTTCTGGGCCTTTCCAAAGCATGCAKGCCCTGGACGAGAAACGCAGCCCCATACACTGACAGTTGGGAGGCCCAACCAACAGAGGCCCAGTAGCTGCGAAGTAGCACGCAGCATCCTGGGGCCTACCGGAAGCTTCTGGGCCCAGGCCAAGTCCTGCCAGGCTGCGAAGCAGGCAGGCTCTTTCCATATAGGAAAGAGCTCGCCACTGTCAGCCTCATTCAGGCACTCGCATGCTAGCGGCAGCGCTGCTGGAGCAAATGCTCGTGGGCTGCTGCTGGCGCTGAGAGGCGAGGTGCAGCACGTGCGGTCGTGCAGGGAAGCAGGGCGCTGCGGAGGGCAGCGCCATAGCCCAGCCACCATAGCTGGTGGGCTTGGACTACAGTGAGGCGCATGAGTGGTCTTCGGGTGTAAGGGAGGACAGACGTGGGTGTAAAGTCAGGGAAGGGCGAAGGATGATGATGATGATGATGTGAGGGCACATACCTTGTATTGGCGATGGTCTGCATTTGGGCGACATCTTCAAGTACTTCGGGTTGCCGCTGATGTCAACAGTTGCATCGTCTATTAGTAGGCTGATCGTAGCTGTGTAGGAGTAGGCTGGGCGCTGAGCGCCAAGTAGGAGTGTGAAGGGACTGGACTCTTGTGTTACGGCGGAGAGAGAAAGCTCTCCTAGACATTGGTTTTCAGTACTACGAACCTCCATTGGTGTATTATTGGTGCAATGCTGCTCTCTGGACACAGTGTGACTATCTGGCTTTCAATGTGATGGTGTAATCTGAAATTTGTCATCTCGCTGTTGGTTATTTTCCTTGCAATTATTGCATGCACCAGGATTTGAACCCTTGTTGATTTGCTGATCAGCCGTTCCATCTGTGTGCCATTCAGCCAGCTGCCAGGCCGACCAGATTCGCACAATTCCAGGAAGGAGTAGTTAAAACTTAAAAGTTAAAACGTAAAAATCTTTTTTTTTTTTTTGTTTTCAATGGATCAGTTCTCAATTTTTGTGTGTCATCCTCGCACACTGCATGGGGGCCAATGACCATGCTAATCTTCTCTGTGATCATATCCCAATGAAATGGGTGTTGGGACGGACAGTGAAAACCTCTTAAAGAAGAACAAGAGGATTTAGAGTATAAAATTGGGATAAAAGGGTACAAAAGGATTACGAAAGAGTACAAAAAGAGTTGTAAAAGCAGTATAAAAGAGGGACGAAATAGGGATAGAAGAGGGATAAATCATAAAAGAAGAATAAAAGAGGTATAAAGGTGGGATAAAATAAGGATAAAAGAGGATTTGAGATAGGATAAATTTAATTAAATTACCATGCGAGCCTCATGCACTCTTCTAGGTAAACAAACACAGTGTTGAAAAAGAAAAAAAAAAAAAAAAAAAAAAAAAAAAAAAAAACGCTAATTTTGGAGAGGATTGTTGGGGTAAATCAGGACGGTGACCATGCAACATGTATAGTTGAACTTACATTCTCCAGGTTCTTGAGGTTGTTGTTCCCCAAGGACAGCACAGTGAGCTTTGAGAGCGTGTCGAGATTTTCGAGGACGTCGATGTTGTTGTTGAAGAGGGAAAGGTCCACGAGCTTTGTGAGTTCGTTCAGCCCCTCGATCTTTGCAATCTTATTGAAGGAAAGATCTGGAACGTCCTTCCCCCCCAAAACGTTCATCCATTTTGTGTTTATATAGTTGTTTTGTTGGATCACACAAAGCCAAACATGAACAGCAATATCCGCTCCGGTTAATCGCCAGCAAAATCACCATGGTCAACAGATCATCATACTCACCAACAAAGCACATATAAAGAGCAACTAAGATGTCAACAACAATATATGAATTTGCAACGTCAGGTCTTTTTTTTCCCCGAAAGGAGGAACTTCAGTGGAGGGGAGGGACAACAACTCCAGTCCAAAGAGGATCTTAAACACCAGCTACTCATGAAGACTCCTCCTACTCCTCCTACTCCTCCTACTCCTCCTACTCCTCCTACTCCTCCTACTCCTCCCTCCTCCCTCCTCCCTCCTCCCTCCTCCCTCTCCCTCC